CTCCTTAAATTCGGGGATAAAGAAAGTCTTATCCATCATCAGTAGGATTACCCGGCGAACATTTGGTTTTCATTGTGTTGTACGAGATAGATCCATCGCATCTTTTTCGGTTGTGAGTTTGAGTAAAAGTCTCGTTAAAAATAATGCATTTGTTTTGCACTTCCTTCATAACACTTCTTATTCAACGTAGTTTAATCCCGCTCAAACTAAGAAACATACCAAGTCATATAGTACTCAATAAGAAGACTGAGCTACTGAGAACAGATCGGGCCCAAAAGTGTTACACTCTCTACCCTACAGTATTCCGGTGCGGGTAGTATGGAACTTTCTTATCTGGTGTTAGCACAATAAAATATTAATCCAGCAATCGTGCAAAATCGGTGTAACCGGTCTTAAACAGATTTCTTGCGAGCTGTAAGGTCACACAAAACTAATCCATTTCCTCTTTTAGTTACCTCGCAGTAACCAATTCTACGATTTTGAAAGCCGACAAGTATCAACTGCTTGTACTCTTCCAGCACCATCAAAAGTCAGTTTACCACCTACCTTTACTTTTGTAGTCTCCTTTGGCTTCATTCTTAAATATCAATACTAACTCTTGCGACTTCCTCTACTTCTCACCCTGCGACCATTGTCAACAACCCAAGCCCATGAAATACCACTCAGTTTCCTAAAACCACTTTTTCAATTTCACATTAAGACTTCCGACGTTCAAATCCTATGCCAAATTGAACAACAGGCATCTCTTGTCAAAATCTCAAACGACAATCTGCTCCTGAAACACGCATACAGAACCTGGATAAATTTGTTCACTTGACCTCATCTGATCAATGTGGTTAATTTGGAAAATTCACTTCACTAGTTTCCAGAAACCGAGTGACTGGCTCTCATGAATTCGCTGGTGTAGTCATAACATTAAGTTGTAGGGTTGGAAGTGCACTCCTCAACTGGACCCCAGCCAACAGCCATCTGTATACTGTTCGACTGAATGGATCTATCAAAACTAGAAAGGATCGTGAGACGGCGATGCCTATTGGTAACCTCCACCTATGCACCCACCTAGTGTAGTTCGGATGATTCAAAGGATGAATTCTATCAGCAGCTGTGAATTTTGCTCCAGAAAGCAAAACGTTCAGATACTCATAGCAGTAGGTAACTACAACGCTGTTAGGAAAGCTAAACTAATCGAAAAGTCATCTTCTAGGTATCTACGGAATCCCATACTAACGAACCGACAATGGTCATCGTCTGTTACAATTTTGTTCTGATAGTCACTTGTTACTAACCGGCACTAACTTCAAGCATATGGACGGACACTATCTACCATGGCATCCGCTGACATTAAACCAACGATGGATACCGATAGATTATAATTCTATAAGTCATCGATGGAGGATTGCTGCTCCTTCTGTAGTACCCATTTGGACTTCAATCATATGTTAGTACATGTACCTGCATGTCCACACCTTGCTGAGCTCAGAAAACAGGTAGCAACAGAGCTTATATGTTTATTTTGTTCTCTGTTCTAATATGCTACTCCGGGACTACACAAGTAAAAATGCACCTTATATGTTTAACTTGTAGATGAAATCAAGTGTGCATTCAGGGAAAGGATAGCTAAGGATTTATCCGAACTTGACAGCAATGGTCAACTCGAGTGAATCTGGAGTTGTATTCAGTTGCTTTAGAAATAGCAGTAAAGACAGTAACCTACATCCAAAGGTTAGCAAACGTCAATGGGTTTCCACAACCTCATCTGAGCTGATTGATGCGATAAGACTGATTCCAGCTGGCTCTGATCACAATAAGAGGCGAAAGAAGCTTACTCTTAAACTGTTCAGGAGTCTTCACGATGCAACGAAGGGTGGTGAAAGCGAGAAAGATGGAGAATACATCAGCAACAGGTAATCATCCAGGCCTGTTATTAGGAAAACTGGCTAGAAAAAGTGGACGGTTAGTGAAACTATCACCGAAAAGTACTGTATCATCCTGATACCCTCAGTAGAGGTGTCTAGGAAGTTTTTTTGCAGGACGCTGTCAAGCATAGTTCAATTTGCCCACAACAGCGCTTCATTTGCCCAGCATCCAGTATGAACATAAATGAGAGATTGACTCTAGTCCCTCAACTCATCGGAACTCAGAAAGCGACGCACAGCAGTACAACTTGATGTTTTATTATCCCATTTGTTAAGCAAGGAGGTAGAAAATTGATGGTCAGATCAATTGCTGTGCTAGGTAGTGTATGGGAAACAAAATAAGTCCCTTTGGACTGGTCTAGATAGTTGATCATTTCAGTTTGGGGGAGAAAAGAATTTTTCGTGGAGCGTCCACAGGGATTTCAGTTTAACCAATATGGCGTCCGAGATTCTAAAGTCCATAGTTATCCAATGCCTAAGCGAAGCTCAAGGATAACAAACTCGAGCAAATTAGACAGGTTTCAAAAGCGGATGACGGTGAATCAATCAGATTATCACCCTTCAATAGGTATACTTACAGTCTATCGACGCCATATTTACTAACCTAAAGTCATTACATGCTTTTACTCGATTATACTTCTTTGACATACTGCACAAGACTAGGTTGTTTATTATTTGTCCCTTGGGTTCCTAGTGAAACAAGGGCTTCAGTAGAACATCTCCATCGCACTCTGTTCTCTGCAGTCTTTTGAACCTGTCTCCACGACTGCCCACAAGTTTTCATTTCTTCCTCATATGATCTTCATGTCACCCTCAGACGTTCAACTAGTCGTTTCCCCCTTCGGATTACACTTAACGGCCTGGCCTGGCGCGTGGCCTCTGAATGGTCTTCTCAGTGTGTGTCGAATCCAATCCATCTCCACTTTCTGCATATTTGTTGGGCAATGGGTTGTTGGTTGGTTCGTTGCCAGCCAGAGTGAGTTCCTTGTTGCTTATTGTTTCTGGACATCTGATCTTCAGTACTGAGTGAGCGTGGGCAGCTGTTGATGAATGTCTATAGTTTGTTGGGAATGCTTTTCATAACGCGCCGCCAAGTCTGTCAACCATCACACAGAAGCACTGACTTGACTGAATTACTGTTGAAAATCCGGATCTTGTTCACGCTGTATGCTGAGTGCATTGCAGTAGATCTCCAAACTGATTCCAGGTAAATGAATGCCTGTCTTGCTGTCTACCCGATCCTGGTTTTCACATCTTCGCCTGTGCCGCCTGTAGTTGAAACGATGCTGCTTAGGCAGATAGGTGAACGAGACAACTTCCTTTGGATTTCTCCCATTGATGATGATTGGTGCTTGTTGTTGATGTTGTTGGTTGAGCATCTTCATCACCTCCGTCTTCCCTACGTTCACTTGAAGTCTTGTTTTCGCTGCCTCATTGGTTTCATCTGCGTTGATCTCTTGCCAGATAGTAACCTGGTTATTTGACGTAGTGTTGTCAGGTCTCTCCTACCTGCAGCCTGTTCTGCTTCACTTGCCAGTGTGTCATAGAAGTGTCCTTTGTCTTTGCGCACACTCTTCACTTCTTTGTCCAGTGTAGTGTTTTGTAGGTTGTGTTCAGTTCCTCTTTTCGTCGTTTATCCCTGTACCACACCGGTTCATCTTTTGCTTCACCATCTTCTCACTGCTATATCAGCCTCCATGTGTCCGTCGAGATCCATCCCTTGTTCTGTTTCTTCTTCATCCTTAACACGGTTATGCAGGTCTCCTCGGGGATGTTGCTTGTTGCCTCTCATTTTTTCCTGATAGCTGATGTGATGTCCTTTGTAGTTCCATCCTTCATTTTCTATTCTTGGTGTTGGACTTGAACTATGGTCTATCACTAACTTTTGTGAAGGCCCTCAACTTGATTTGGAAGGTTCCCTGCACTAGACAGTGAGTGGTCGGAACCTACATCTCGACTTCTTGATCTTGTGTCCAGTAGGCTGTTTCCGCTATCTTCAGGTTGAGGTGAAGTCGGTCTGATTTTTGGTGTGTCTATCTGGTGAAATCAAATCCACTTCACTTGGTAAATATCCTTGTGTTCGTACGCACTGCTTCCAATGCTCAGGAGTCTGCAAACAATTCTCCATTCTCATTCATCATTTCATCGAGTGCCTCTCAACCCATGAGTGGTTCTCTTGCTGTGTTGTCCGCTCCCAGTTTAGCTTTCATGTCGCCCATTAGAATTTTGACGTCGCCAACTGGAGTCTTGTCTAGTACTGATTCCAGTTGTCTGTAAAATTCCCTCTTCTTCTCTTGATCCGCATTATTTGTAGGCGTGTAGCATTGTATGAGTTGAGTCTTGCTGTCATGATCCTGGAGGAGATTGGTTCCCACTGCATCAGAGGAGAACCTTCGATCCTGTTGAGGATATTATGATAGCCACTCCAAAACTCAATGTGCTCGCCGTGTTCGTCTACGTGACAGTATTGGAGTAGATTATTGACAGTTTAGAAAGTCCACTTCCATTCCATCTGCCTTCGTAGATTCCATGCACTGAAATGCTGTACCTCCTCATCTCTTGCTAGGTTCAAACATTGTTCGGACATTCCATATCCCCATTCTTACTTTCTCTTTCATCGAGAGAGAGAGAGAGAAGGCAGATCGGCCAATTGGCTTCCTGAAGGCTTTCACCAACCGGCGTCATTCCGTCCCCCCGATTTCAGCAAGGAGTAGGTTTTTTGTGCTTTGAAGTTTTTTGTTGAGCGATTGGATTGGTTTTACGGGTAGGGTTGCTAGCCCTATTCCCAACCCTCCCTCTTTATCCGGGCTCAAGAAAGGCTAGTAACTAGTGAACTAGTTACCTAGGCGAGGTTAAGGCTAGGTTAGTAACGTAATTTACTTTTTTTCACTTCGCGAACATCGTTCCTCAGATGATAATGCTATTCTTTATCTACTCTATGTGTAACTTGTTTCACTACTGTATACATTTTTTCATATGACCGGTATCAGCTTACTTTAATGATGTGCACTTTCTAAAGTAGAGGTAAATGTGTATTCTTAGAGAATTCTTACTGATTTTGTCGTCTTATTTACCTACTTTCAGCGCTTTGGCCTACAGCTGTTGATTTTAAGTTCGAACGCCATCTACTGTCTCCATCTGAAACAAATGTACGCCAGCGCAGCAAAGCCACGATGAAGCCATTGTCCGTTGGTGATAAAATGACACCTGATATGCAACCAACTGGGTCTATTATTGCCCAAAACCTCATGAATGCTGGTCGGCAACTGTTTTCGAAAGTATGTTCTTTGACAATTTCTATAATAGTTTTGGATATCCACCAAAAATGCTTCTTTTATTTGGGACATCTCATAGGGTTTATCATACTTCATAAAAAGGAAACAAAACGTTGATTTGTTTGAAAATGTACATGTCATCAACTTGGAATCTACTAGATAGTTACTTGCATAGTCTCTTATACACAGCTGTTAAAATAGTGCACATTGTCTATAGATTGTGACTTACCTTGGTCCATGGTCAGAATATAGGATATAATTTGTTGAAGTGGAATAATTATGTAATCGTGAAAATCAGTAGTGATATGGTTACGAAGAAATGTCTTTATCATTTTACTAAGATTCGACGTATTTTACTTATTGAACTGTTTGTGGTTGTTGGTTTCTGTTAGGGGTCATTGTCAATTTAATGTCAATTCAAATTTAGGTAGCCTTAACTGCTTAGGGAATCGATACGTTGATAAACACTAGTATGGCTTAGTTTCACGTGGTTAGACTGATAACTGCGAAATATGTATTACTCTGAACCTGCTACTTGGCCATGACTTTCGACTCGCCGTTCTATATGGATATCGCTTCATTTGCTACGCTTTACTCACGCCTGTGAGTAACCAACAACTGAAAAAAGGCTAGGCTCTTGCAACCAATAGATTAGTATTCTTTCTTCCCCTTCCACTCTACAATAGGATATAAAACCTGATCAATAGCTGCTACCCTTGACCTGGTAGTTTGGGTTCTATAACATAATGATCCAATGAGCTATACTGGCTGTGACGCTTGTTCCCTCAAGGTCCCATCATGCCATGTATAGTATTAAGATGAAAAGCGGTTACCGTTGTAGTTTACGTTGCTACTCTATGATGGGAGGTCCTAGGGGCGAAGTCGTACAGTGGAAACAGTAAGTTGTTTTCCGCGTATGACCAGCAGTACCATTCTGGTGCTGCGTTCTGGATAGGAAAGTGGGGTTAGAAAGGGTGGATAGCAAAAATTAGCACACGCCTTGTGACCTTCCAGTGCCAGCGGTATTGGTTTTTCTATCTGGCGTTAGAACATTCAGATTAAATTCCAACAATCATAAAAATACTGTGTGACCAACCTCAAGCAGATTCCCCATGGACTCTACAGTCGCGCAAATCTTTCCTTTTTCCCTTTGGAGGTTGTGGACTCTTGATAACATGGCTGAAAATTGGTCACAGTGGTGCAGATATGTCCACTCTTTGACGTCTTCTAAGCTTGAATGTTTTGACCAACCTTCGGTTTTAAATTCCTTCTCCTCCTATAAACCTTTGTCTGCTTTGATATTAGTCTTTTTATCTGCATGCTATTTTAACATTTGGGAATTTGAGCCGGTGATTATGTGCATGAGATTTTACGTCGATTTTTGTATGTGTGCATACTTATGTCTCATTATCCTTGTATTGATACAATCTAAGTCGTGTACAGATACATAGACGTTACGTAGTCACAACGCACTATAATTCACAAAAATGGAATAATTCATTTAGTAAACAGAAAGTAGAATTAAACAGTAGTTGATTTTACTTAGTATCCAGTTGGCCCGAGACCATAAGTTGTTCGAAACTGAAGCAAGAATCAATAAGAAGCCCTCACACTGAATCATTCAGTTATACCATCAAGGAAATCTTAATCTTTTAAAATAAATAAAGTAGAACAGCTGATATTACTTGTCTGAAGTTCCTATTTCTCCTTTTTCGATTATTTATGGCTAAAATCTCAGCTATCGTCAACTATAGGTTATGCTGATCTTATTTTTTTTCAACAGATGAAGTTGTCATCTGAAGAACTTGTTGAGTCAATGATAATCCATCAAAAACAGATCCCCAAGGAACAACTATCTGTTAACTTGACTTATTTCCTCTGCTTAATGTGCTTCTATTGATTCATACTTTTCAAGACAAAGAAGACAATTGCTTTCATACTTCGAATAAAATTCTCCTGTCCTCTTCCTTAATTCTACCGGATAAAGGACATTACATTTATTGGTTACTATAGAAACATGAGTAGTTAGTTACTTTAAAAGGAGGGACTTATTTAGTGGAATCTCTTGGAGTGATGAAGTTTATTTGGAATATTCATCTCATCTGTAACATAGAACAGGAGTGTTACACATAGAACGCTGCAGCTTACTGGTTTAGCCACTCAAATTCCACCTAGTAGGTTATGGTGTGGAACTTCTCTCAGTCTACCGAAACCTGGAAAGACAGGTAGTACCATAGTCCCTCACATAATAGCTGTGGCGAAATGTCAACTTTTTATGTCTTTCTAGACTCAATCGAGAAATTTCAAGGCGAATTTCCATAAGCTCCGGATATACAATATATATATATATATATATATATATATATATATATCCAGTATCGCACACAGCATAGTCGAAACTGAAGCTCTATCTTGGATCTAGGTTTCACTTTCCAAATAAACTCCGTAAACGAGGCGATTAACTAACATAAATTTAGGGCTCAGGCTACCAGCTGTCTGTTTTTGCTATCTGTTAATGAGATCAGAACCAATTGTTGCAAATCTAAGCCGATAGACATTGCCGATCAGTTTTACATATCTGCATCTTGACAGTCGAATATCTTCACCAAGAAACACAAATCAGCATTGAAAAGCCTACACAATAAGAACGAATTTGTTACACTTTGGGTAGGTGAGGGATATAGTTAAGTGATAACGAACAAGGACTATATGCACAAAATTTCTATTGTATTGAGTGATTCTTCGAGATTAAAAGTCGACAAACCTCAGAAAAATGCAACTCAATCAGTCGAAAGCAGAATTAGGAGGCACCTTAAGCAAATTCTCAATAAGAATTTGATCCATGACGCAACGTATAACAATTCCAAGTCAAAAAGTCCATACCTCACTTTCATGTAGGATTTGTCAAAAGTTCACCAATCTAATGGTCCTCTGAGAGCTATATTGTCAATAATAAACTCACCTTGCCACAAATTAGGTAACTGCTCAGTACAGAACTCGGAAATTACCAGAGAAAGGCTAGCAAATCACAGTCTGATAGGCCCATTCTAATTTTCTTAAGTACTGAATAAATGTTTGTTATTACCCGATGTTTCTTCATCATTTAAAAGATAATAGTAGTCAAAGGTAGCAGAGTAGTTACCAGTGCAATCGTCAGGCGCTTGTTTCTACATAACATCAAATAGATGTTTCTCAATCCTTCGGGATAATCAGCAAACAAAGAATGCTATGTTCATTACGGTTTGCGGAAGCTCTCACCATCAAACATTTTCAACCTGACCTATGTACTCAGAAAGAGAATGTAATTAACCTTTCTTTACCCTGGTAACTGTAGATACTCTTTCGTATATGTCTGTACATAGGCTTCCTTTTTGATTGCATCATCTCTTCATTAAGTACTTACTGACTGTTAATCACCTAACGATTTTCCAGGGGTTTTTTCCATCTAATTACGTAACCTGCTAACTCTTTAACAACTGTTTCTTTTACAGTGATGCTTGTTTTCAGATAGTCTATATGCGTTAAATTAATCTTATTCGTGTAGTCACAGTTACTTCGACAACCATTTGTCCCATCCAACACTTTATTTTTCATATGACAACCGTAAGGCATAACACTTCCAACTAATGTTGTACAGAACTATGTCAAGAACTAAAAGCTTCAGAATCTGCGATTAACAGTTGGCTTAGACGTTTATTGTTAACTGTTTAGTGTAAAAATGAGATATCACATGTTTACCTTCTTTACTCATACTAATTTACGCCATCTAAGCAGTAAATAAAGCCCTTTTTAGCGAAATCTTAAACTTATCTGACATCATTATTAGTGCTTTACTTATAATTGTCCCCCACTTCGCTGTGTTTATCATTTATTGATACAATAAATTGTCTTTTTTCACATTACCAGTTATTTACACGGATATCTCAAACGCAAGTTGTTAGTGTACTGTCTTCAGAAATTGCCTATGCTCCAACAGCACATCTTTTTGCTGCTGCCAATGATATTGATTTTGTAAACAGTCCAAATCCTTGTAAGCCAATGGTACAAGCAAGTGGTCAAGTTATTATCTGGGCAATAGAGATTCTGGCTTGCCTAACACTGGCCTCATACAATGAAGATCCATTTGGTTCAGTTCAACAGTCTCTCGGACAAATATTGCTGCTTTTTGCAGATGGATTAGAGGTATATTTCCTTCACTTTATTCCTTGTTAATAATGGTTTCATTGTACCAGTATCTATAAATTAATCATCGTGCTAAATCGAGTAACTTGTTATTTTTAAACTGATGGTTCATTCGGTTTGCTTCTGGACAATGGGAGACTGCAACAAATGAGCAATTTTGAGCTAACTCAAAGTAGTCCAAGATGCTCATGATTTAAGTGCAGCACTTTTCAAAGCAACAAAGACATCTTCAGTTCACCTTTAAGAAATGCACACGTGGTTCTTACTGACCAATTGCTCAAAGTCGTTGGCGCTCAAATTTTGGACACTTTTTCATTTCGAAAACAATTTTCAGGAAAAAAGGGCAGTCGTTTGATAATCTAGTTTTGTTTACGGGTCCAGTAGTCCTTTAATTAAATACTTTATTTAATATAGCATGTTTATTGATACACTTTAAATTCCTCTAAATAGTGATATTTTAATTTGAATTCTCAAGGCTGTTGAAAAACATTTACGATTGGTTGGTTTACTCACTAACCAACACAAACAGATTATGAACTGTTCAGTTACTGACAACCTCAATTTTAGCACATTATCAACTGGATACCTTCAAACTCCGCTTAGAAACTCGAAACAATATTCTGGAAGTGGATTTCATTCCGATACTCAATGTAAAATTTCATATTATCGTTTTGCATCTGATCCCAGTCTTCCTTGGCGTGTTTATGCAACATTTTGCTGGGCTTTAACAAACTGTCTAAATCAGTACGGTGATTGTTTAACGTAAGTTTCGTTTCCTCTTTACGTTAAACATTGTTTAGGCATTTATGTTGTGATATCACAGGTTTCAAAATAATTTTCTGTTTGATGGTAATGAATATTTCGATTAACTTGAAAAGTGCCTTGTATTTTGAATCGGTACCAATCTTTTCATCATTTTACTGCGTTTCTCAATAGTATGCGCTAAATATCAACATCTTAGTATACCTGTCTTGTGAGTGAAAGCTTTTATCAATCATCATCACCATCAATATCAACATAGGACCAGGCATTACTGCGTAACGGTCCGAGTTGCCACAGCTCAGTACAGTACATCAAGGAAAAAGGCAGTGAAGTTGAAAATGAAGAAAAGGAAATTCAGTCAAAGGAAATATAAAGTACTAACAGAGAGAAAGGAAGAGTGACAAGATGCTGAGATTCGGTATAGCTAGCGCCACTGACATCGGTTCTCAGCCCATGCCATCACCTAGAGTCTCCAACCATTGATTCCTCTTGTCCCGCGGACCCCAACCACCTAGTGTGCATCGCCCCACATGGCTCAAACCAACAGTCAGAGATTTCATGTTTTAGTCTGGCCACTCGGGCCTTTTTCCAGCCTGGACCTACTTCGGCCAACATTGTGTGACGAGGCAATCGGTGACTAGGCATACGTAGTACGTGTCCCAACCATCTCAATCGATGAAGGTTCGTAACCTCGTCAACTGATTTGCCTGTACTTCCTAAAACTCTCTACCTGACGTCTGCGTTACTCACGTGGTGACACCACGGGATACGGCCTATACCTATGAAGGCAACGGTGGTCAAACACTTGAAGCCTTCTCATGTCTTCTACCTTTAATGGCCATGTTTCACAGCCACAGAGTGGAACAGACCGGACTGCTGTGCAGTACACACGACCCTTAATAGACAAACGGATATCAAGGTGACGCCATAGGTGGCGTAAATTGGCAAAAGCCAATCGAGCCTTTTGTATCCGTGCAGAGATTTCATCGACCACTGACCCACCAGGGTTGGTCCTACTTCCCAGGTAAGTGAAGTGGTCGACACATTCAATCACTACACTCTACTGTTAGCTGTGGCGCCGTTGAAGACCAATCCTGGAGCGACAAGTCGGATTTAGGTGGTGAGAAACACATCCCAAACATTCCCAAATTCCCACTCAAAGTGTACAAAAGACTGCATGTTATCAGCGTCTCCACCTAACAGCACAATGTCATCTGCACATTCTAGGTCTGATGAAAATTACGTCAAAGTCTGCGTAATCAGGTGGCGAGAGGAGACCACTATGAGAATATTTGTGATAAAATTGAATAAGAATGGAGACAGTGGACACTCTTGACGGACACCACTCGATGAGTATAGCTCCCCGGACATCTCACCATAGGCTCTGACATGCCCACAAGTGTTCGACTATAGAGCCTTCAATAAGGTGATGTACTTACTTGGTACGCCTTTCGGTGAGAGATACTGCTATAAGAATTCTCGATGAACAGAGTCAAATGCCGCCTTCAGGTCGAGAAATACAGCTGTTGTCGGGCGTTTGTAAGCATGCCTATGTTCCAGAACCTGGCGCAGCGTGAATATTTGGTCGATACACCCGCGGCCAGGTCTAAAGCCTGCCTGGTTTTCTCGGGCTTGGTGTTCCCGAGCTCCACTCAGGCGTCGAAGAATTATAGAACCTAGGATTTTGGAAACTATGTTCGTCAGGCTGATTCCTCTGTGGTTATCACAAGAGGACTTCTCACCTTTCTTGAAGATTGGGATAATAAGTGACTTAGACCAGTCGGAGGGGATCGTATTTGATTCCCATATACTAGCTAACACTTCCGTTAACCTGACTAAGAGCACTCTACCACCATTCTTGTATACCTCTGGAGTTAGTCCGTCTGGTCCTGCTGCCCTTCCTCGTTTCAGGTTACCTACCGCTTTCTCGAATTATTCTAGTGTTGGGGTGCCTGTCTCTATGTCCCATTCAGGGTCCGACTGGATAGCGGGCAACGCAATTGTGGCTGGAGGCCAGTTAAACTGTTCCTCGAAGTGTTCTGCCCATCATTCCAGTCGTCTCCCCTGTGAGTGAATCGCAGATCCATCCTTCTCCGTTAAAGCCTAACTAACTGTTGTTGATCTTTTCCCCCAGTCTCCTTAATAAGTCTAAATAACTGTCTACTATTACCGATCGCCGCTGCCTTTTCCATCTCTTTAGCCTTCACTGCCCACCACTGTTCGCGATCGTTGCGCAGACTTTTCATCAGTCTACTTTTAAGTTGCGCTCGCTCTTCATTGTACTCAGAGCCTGCAGGTAGGCGTTCACGTGCATCCATTAGTTCGGAAGAAGCTGCTGATATCCACTGGCTCTTTTTAGCCACTATTTTGGAGTCGGTTACAGTCTCGAGTGCTGCTTTTACAGCAGACTGAAGAAGGCACCAAGCTTCTTCTGGATGAGTGACAGTATTTTGTTCTGATAACTGCCTAGCCAACTCCTCACTAAACACAGCTTTAGTGTTTCCGTTTTCCAGCAGCACTCGTAGTGGTTTTGTTGGCAAACTTTTTCTACGTCCATTGAGATGCAGGCATATACGTGCTCGGACCAACGCATGATTGCTCTCCAAACACGTACTACAAGAAGGAGCGGCAGTTTCGGAAACGTAGTATGTGGCGTGGTCACTTGACTCAGTAAATCACGCAGTTCTAGCGGCACACCACACTCGGTTATAAGCAACCGTCTTTTCTCCATATCTTTTTCTTGTCAACGATACCGTTTGAACGGTTTTGCGACCTCCTACTGTGCCCTTCTTATTGAAGATTCAAGCCATCCATCGACTCATATCCTGAGTAATCTGCTCCAGTTAGATTCATTTTATCTGATTACAAGCACAATGGGGATTAAAATAGGCGCAGCACCAGAGTGAATTAGTCTTTTAATGAACAGTAGTGGCGAAAAATAGGCTTTACGCCTGATTGAAGCGTAATTCTTCATCTTACAATTAATTCTGAAGCACAGAGTCACTAGCCATATCCTTTGACCTGAAAGTAAATTCTGACTTCGCTATCGAGAAGTTTGTAACGTGTCAGACGACCATATTATGTTGCTGAATACTGTGTTTGAATTATTTCAGCCGTATCAAGGTTCGCAAGAAAGTTGGCAACCACTGGTGGTGTGTCACCCTGATATATCCATTCGAACTATATTTTTTTAAAACTATGTTGTTAATGTACTGATATTGATTACTGTGGTCAACTAACTTGATTGTTATCGATCTTTGAGTCTCGGCTGACAAAACTAACTGGGACTTCTGGACCACTTGTTACACTGGTCTAGCTACATCCAACCTAATGTACAAAATCGAGGCAGTGGAATTGTATTAGATTTAGCTAATTTAATATAATTCCACTACCGGCGTTTTGTGTGTTAGTGTTGGATGTAGCTAGGCGAGTGTAACAAATAGTCCAGCAATCATTGTCAACGGAGACTCAAAGATAGATAACAATCAAATTATTTGGACACAGTTATCATTGCCTGGTCGAGGTCCCTCAAAAGAAAGGAATCAGTGGTTGAGGACACTTGGTGACGGCTGAAAATCGGTCACAATAGCGCAGGTATATTTACTCCTTGACATCTAAAGCTTCCATTAATCGCTGAGTTCAAACTGTTTATCCTCTCATACTTTGATATCACTATTTTTCTATCCACCTGTTCTTTGTGGCAACTCGAACCTATGCATCTGTGCGCAAGGTTCTACGTTGATTTTGTCAGAAGATAATAATAATAATAATAATAATAATAATAATAATAATAATCTGTTAAAGAAATATACTCATGTACTGATGTCTACATATTCATTCGATATGGCACCCAGTTAAAGAGTAAACGATACTCCATTGTTATGCGCTGTATCGCATAAATCAGTTTTATATGCAATCGCATTCGAAATACCATAATTCTATGCCTACATTATCGAACCGATACACTTATGTGATGTGGTTCATTGCTATTAGTTCATCGGAAAGGAAAATCCACTTTATATCTATATCATTTGTTTTACGCTATTCTACCGTCAGTGTCAACTGTCTGGATACTTTATTATTATTTATCATTACTATTATTAAGCTTTACGAAAGTAATAAACTCAACATCGTATTTTAGGACCATATCACTGGATAAAAAGTCAAAAGAAAGATTGCAGCTATTGAAGGCTTCTCGCTGTCTGGTAAAAGAAAGTTCAGCCTAGCAGATTTTGTTTTTCTTGTACAGATTTATATGCATTTATGATAAGACACTTTTGATATTTGTTAAATAAACATATAAGGTGGCATCCGTCTTCTTAATTTTCAGAAAGCTCACGAGTATTACAATATCAGCCATATTGTGCTATTTCCCATTGTTTCGGTGGTTTGTCTTCAGCATTAGCTTTCATTTTACCAACCCTCAACTTGATACTGCTGTTCATTTCCCTCTCTATTAAAAACAATCACAAAATTATGACGCTTCGTTAAATACGTTATGTTAAACTTTCACTACGAAAATGGCTTCAGGCACCTGGTTACCAACAAATTATTATGCTAAGTCGTAACACTTGGTGGACTGTGAGAGTACAGATCTGTGGAAGTTGTTGGTCTTGTAGTGAATGAGTGCGGCGATACATTGCAGGGATTAAAAGCCACTGTCACATTTGGAGCGATAGAAGAATCACATTGCAACGGTAATCCAATCCTACCAAATCTAAACGAGGATAAATTTGTCGTCCAGCAAGCTTAAATGAATTTCTCACAAGCTCACCGAGCGCCACTAGAAGAGCATAGGGTAACTGTATACTCATTTCGTCACATTTCGCTTGCTATGCACTCTCAGTCTTGTTCAAATCACGTGACCCACACCCTAGCGTTTTTCCATTATAGTAGTATTCGGGGATATTTGAATATTGGATGATGCTCCGTCGCACCGGGAACTCAGTTCTTCGATGCCTTCATCTCAGCCGACAGTCTACACTTCATAGATAGAGTTCGAAATCCCTCCTCAAGTGCACTCGTGTCTACATCCCTCCAGAAATGTCTTCATTCTTAGTAAGCTAAACGTAGACTTTCAAATCATTTGCCATTTGTCCCAGTGAATTTGTGGCTTGTTGGTATAGATATTCATCTACAAGCATACCTGAAAATCAGCCATCAGATACTTAGTGTGATTCACAAATATATGTGGGACAGGTGAATCTCTCTTACAGATATTACTATCCGGAGATTCAATAGATGACTGAGACACTTGGCGCATTTCGCTGGAATAAACAGCATGAACACATCAGTACTTTAGTAGACAAACTGCTGTTCATTAGTTGCGCCTTAAATTTAATCTACAGCATTTCCTTGTCCCTTAATTTTCGCATTATCGCTCTAGTGTTACTGAAGGTTATGATAGCTCGGACCGTTATTTCCAGTGGATCTGTATTTTGAACTTCTGTTAGGTATACAATAAACACTTATGTTAAGAAGCTGATTACCCTGCACTGAGCTTGATAATGAGAAGTAAAATTTTTCAGCACATCGCAGATTGTAATTGCTTGATGAGCGTACCCAACATCTTACTAGTAATGGATAGAGGTTCTTGTTCCAAATAAACTTGTGTTTGCGGAACTGGCGGAAACTCAGTCCTGGCTTACAACGCTAAAATTTTGAAAACGGATCTTTATCATAATGCACACTAAATCTACTAACAGCTTAAAGAATGGTTTATACGAGAACTCTATGGTATTTCTGATAAGCAGATCGTTCAGAAATAAACTAATCAACATTTACTCTGCGCTAACTACGACTACAACTCAGCTGATTGTTAATATTATTATAATTTGTCCCTTGGGTTCCTAATGGAACATAGGGCTTCAGTAGCACGTCTCCATCCCACTCTGTTCTCCGCAATCTTTTAAACCTGGCTCCACGATTGCCCAGAAGCTCTCGTTTCTTCTTCACACGACCTCCATGTCACCCTTCACCTCGGACGCCCAAATCGCCGTTTCCCATCTGGGTTCCAGTCGAGTGCATGCCCAATCCATCTCCACTTCCTTCTGCATATTTGTTGAGCGATAGGTTCTTGGTTGGTTTGTTCCCAGAGTTCCTTGTTGCTTATTCTTTCTGGCCATCTGAGCTTCAGTAATGAGCGGAGGTAGTTGTTGATGAATGTCTGTAGTTTGTTGGGAATGCTTTTCGTAACGAACCACGTCTCTGAACCATATTGCAGCACTGACTTGACTGGCGTTAGTGTTGAAAATTCGGATCTTGTTCTTTATGCTGAGTGCAGAAGATCTCCACACTAGTTTGAGGCTAGTGAACGCCTGTCTTGCTTTGACGTCCTCGTCTGTGCCGCCCGTAGTTAAAACAATGCTGTCTAGATAGGTGAAAGAGGCTAATTCCTTTAGGTTTCTCCCGTTGATGGTGATTGGAGCCTGTTGGTGGTTGGGTATGACCATCGCCCGTCTTCTCTACATTCACTTGAAGTCCTGTCTTCGCTGCCCTGCCTCTTCCGTCAACTTGTTAGTTTTTTGCCTGTAGATCCTCGAGCTCGTGTCACAAGACATTAGACATAAATCGTCATCGGCGAAATCCAAGTCATCTAGGATCTCTTCCCCAGTCCAGCATATCCCCCTCTTTTCGCTCCTCACAGTTTGTTGCATGATCCAGTCGACCACAGTTAGGAAGATCATCGGTGGTAGTAGACAGCCTTGTCGTACTCCTGTCTCCACTCCAAAGACACCACTGAGCTTCCCATTGTGAATACTTGACATGTGGCGTCTTCATATATTTGTTGAGTGAGGTTGATAAAGGTTAGCGGTGTTCCGTAGTGTTAGAGCAGTTGCCAAATTACTTCTCGGTCGACGTTGCCGAAGGCCTTTTCAAAGTCGATGAAGCTGAGGTAAAGATCCAGTTGACTGCCATTCTATAGTCTGTTCTATGATGATGCGCAGCGTTGCAATTCGGTCTGCACATGATTTGTACTTCCTGAATCCAGCCTGTTCCGGTCGTAGTTTTGATCCAGCGCATGCTTTAGTCTCTCTAGGATGATGCGGCTTAATATTTTGCCTGGGGTAGACAGGAGCATGATTCCGCGCCAGTTCTTGCAAGGATTTAGGTCTCCCTTCTTCGGGAGTCTGACAAGGTAGCCCCTCTTCCAATCTGCAGGCACCTTTCCAGACCTTCTGCAGTAGTGGTGTGAGTATGTCCGCTGTTGTCCCCGCGTCTGTTCTCAGTGCTTCTGGCGGGATTCCATCTTGTCCTGCTGCTTTCCCGCATTTTAGGAGCTTTATGGCGTTCAGAACTTCGACTTTAGTCGCAGGGCTTGTGTTCACTGGTAGTTCTGTGGCTGGGCTGCAGGTGGTATTTCTGGACGAAGTGCAGGTGGTGGTCGGTTCAAGAGCTTCTTGAAGTGGTCAGCCCATCGCTTCCTTTGCTTCTCTTCCCCGGTAATTAGATTTCCTTCATCATCTTTTATTGGTTTCATCTGTGTTGATCTCTCCCCTCACAGATAGTAACCTGGTTATTCGATACAATGTTGTCAGGTCTCTCCTACCCACAGCCTGTTCTGCTTCACTTGCTAGTGTGTCGTAGAAATCTCTTTTGTCTTTCCGCGCACTCTTCCTCACTTCTTTGCCCAGTGTTTTATGGGTTGTGTTCAGTCCCTCTTTTCGTTGTTCATCCTTGCACTGCACTAGTTCATCTTCTTCACCATCTTCCTCTTCCTGCTCTATCAGCTTCCATGTGTCCATGGAGATCCACTCCTTGTTTTTCCTCTTCCTTCCTAATGCAGGTTTCTTTCTACATCTCCTTCAAAGAGTTCCAATGTTCATCCACACAGGTTTCCTCAGGGATGTTGCTCGATATCTCCCATCTTGTCTTGATGGATGACGTGAAGATTTCCTTTGTGGTTTCGTCTTTCAGTTTCTGTCTGTTTAACTTGGACTGTGGTCTATCACCAACTTCTTTGAAGGTTTTCGACTTGATTTGGAAGGTTCCTTTCACTAGACAGTGGTCTGAACCTACATCTGCTCCCCTTCTTGACCTTGTGTCAAGTAGGCTGCGTCTCTACTTTCTTGAGATTGAGATGAAGTCGATCTGATTTTAGTGTGTCCATCTGGTGAAATCCATATCTCTTTGTGGATATTCTTGTACTTGAACACAGTGCCTCCAATCACCAAATCGTTGAATGCACAGAATTCTGCAAACGGTTCTCCATTCTCGTTTATTTCACCGAGTGCTTCTCGACCCATGGTTAGTTCTCTTCCTGTGTTGTCCACTCCGAGTTTGGCATTCATGTCGCCCATTAGATTTTTGATGTTGCTGATAGGCAACCAATTTTATCTTTCCAAACGCCAGAACTATGTGTATATTTTAATATATAATCCTTTTGGTGGTAATCTTTCGGTCTTCTTTCTGAATATATGCCCGACTCTGAGTGTCTACTCCATTAATTAACCAGGTCACTAAATCAACTACAACGTTACAGAACGTTGGTGGGCGATAGGCTATATACGTTCATCAGACAGCGTCTGTAATAACTTGGTGAAGTGAAAGACACAATCCAATACATTTTCACAAGCAAATGAAGCTTAGCCGTAGTGCGAGACTCTTCATCAGTGCGCACGCCCACGACACCGTTGAGGATCAAACCCAGGACCTTCAGGTTCAGCAGCCAACCGGTTGCCACTGGTAATTCAGTTGTCGATGTCAATGTAGTCATTTCGTCCTCTAAAAATTACCAGTGAAATCATTTCAAGATTTCCGAAGGCGATATTGAGACCTGAACAAAAGGAGCCGATCTACCAACCCTTACTAATCAGTGCCATCCTTAAAAGCAGCAGCTAAAACTCAAACTCCAGATTAATGAATCAAATAGAACTAGCAGATCAAATGTGATTTTCTTGGCCTAAGTACATAAAAGTATTCCTCTTTTGTGCCTTGTAATACACGGGTGTAAGACTTCGGGACACATTTTCATTCCCAATATGTATAATATCAAGTCTGTAAGCATAAATGTACTGAAAGTGAAACTCAAACAAAAGAAAGAAGCGTAAGGAATGCGCTACTGGTGATTTTCTTAAGAGTTTCTTACTTCTGAATCATACGTTATTACAAACACGTAGATCAATTAATTGGATGAAGTGGTTTCTTATAACCATGGATCTGTAGACTTCCGAACTACATGATAGCGGTTCCACGTATATCTCTGACCGCAGCACCGGGTTATGTGGGTTCAGATCTGTCAGGTGACATCAGTTCACTCGTGGCCCGCTAACATGAAGCCTTGGTGTAGAGCTCCTAACCATTTGCCTCCGCCCACTTAATTCCATATATACTTGTAGTGTCTCGTATACCCGATTCACCCATGAATTGCTCATATGATTTGTCCCTGCTGGGACAATTGCACAATAGATGACTGATGTTCATTATTATTTTTTGTGCCCTGAATCATATATAGACACATGAATTATATGCTCACATGATACGATTATTTACAAAAATGAAAGGTGGATTACCATCGTGTCTGCTGTGTGAAGTAAATGAATGTATAATCTCAAATACTTTGCTAGTATCCACTTAGTGTTCAGTTCCAACTAAATGTGCAAGCAGGGAGGCTTTTATTGTTCGAATCTTCCCCTCAACCAACCATGATGGATAGCGCTCAGAAGTTTGACGATGAAGATGGCCCGTTGTACGCCCAATGCAACTAGCTCTACAGGAACAGTTGGACTGATAAGTCCAAATGGGAGTGGCAGAATCAGGCAGATTTTCTGTTTCTTGCTCTAGAGTCGAGTGGTTTTAGAAGATGCGTCATTATTTAACGGCTGGAAATGCTCTCTTCAGTGCTCTTTTCATGCACTGCGTGATGACCCCACTAGCGATGTCACCCTTGAACCCCAGTCTCAAGAAGACTTGCTTCTTAGGAACTGTCAGCATTTTTGTTTTAACCTTCGTAACATTGATACGCTTAGTTACAAACTCTGCTGGATAGCCATTCCTACTAAGCAGGTCACGGATGGTGGCAAACTTTTCCTCGATAGTATCATCAGAGCAAATAGCTGTGACATGCTTTTCTAGGCATTTCATCAGGTTCCTCTTGTATTGGAGAGTTAGGGGACTAAAGAAGTACGTGTATCGACCTGTCGATGTCGGCTATCTACAAATGCTTCGTCTGAGTTCCATCGAACCTTCTTACTAGTAGAACATCAAGAAACGAGATGCTATCATCTCGCTCGTCCTCTGTTATGAATCTGTTTGCCGGATGAACACTTAAACGTATTAGAAACAACATTCTAATCAATCTCATTTGTAAGATTTATCATGTAACGACAACATAATTCCAACTAGTGAGTTGTTTCGTCCAGAGGACCATTCTTTAGTTTGCACCACCATGATGGTTGAATAAGGGACAGATTAGAACAATAAAAAGCCACATACTTGCACACTTAGTCGATATTTGACACTAGGTGGATAACTGCAATGCATTTTTAAAAAATGAAATAACCAGATTGGTAAGCAGAAAATGGATTTCTGCACAATAATTACTAATATTTAATAGAGTTATTCCGAACCTATGAATCCCACAGTGGTAGGTAGGGTATTGATAAAAAGCTCTTGAACGGCGCCATACCATTATAGTGCAGTTTAAGTAAAATGTCTTTCAAAATAAAGAAGACTACGGCCAGTTATACCTGTCTGAGATTCCTGTTTTCTTTCCTTTCGACAGCATGACATGACCCATCCGTTGAAACCTCTGCAAAACTTCAGTAATACTTTGCAAAAACGCTGAAAACACAAAAAGAATGATCAACAATTTGTGTGATATTGTCAACTATCTGATCTTCACCTAGATAGACGACGACGGGGGGGTCGCCAATAAAGTTCAGGCTACAGGTTCTATCCTATTTGCAACTTGATAGTTAAATACGCCCCTATCCTATTGAATAGGTTGGAGCTTTATTTCTACCGTGACTTTTGGCCACTGCCAATAGCACCAACAGTAAACGTTCCAAAAGTGAATCGGACTAAAGGTTGATGTATATAAACAACCAGCCTGTACACCAACCACAGATTAATGTGGATAAAGCAAGGAGAGCAAAATCTGCAGAATCAAATGATATCAAAAAGAAACAGCTACTACTTCTTTGCACACAGTGTCCAGCTCTAATTCAATAGTCGACTTTATACACAGTTTGATGAAGTTGCTATGCGTTCACCTCTAGGACCTGCTCTAGCAGATATCTTCATGGGTTACCTCAAACAGACGCGCCAAATTTCAGTCATAAGAGGAACAGCCTATTACCGTGGGTACGTTTACGCTGTTGTTTGTAATGATATGAAAAATGCAAGTGAGTTTTTTGACAAACTCACCCTAGTGTTCAATTACAATGGAGAAAAAGAACTGGTGCTGAAACTGAAAGGACACATGGATAAGACAGTACCTTAACTATAACAGTCTCTGTCTAGCCACCCGTAAGTGTAGGCTAGCCAAAACACAACTATGGAACTATGTTCTGCAAACAAGTTAGAGGAAGGGCTAAACTTTATTGACAAATGTCTCCGACAGAATGAATATCCTAAGAGATTTATTATGAAGCATGGAAAGAAACAGATCAAGAGATATAAACACCTAACTATGGAAAAGAAGGCTTTTATATACCAATTCAATTACCTAGGAAGTAGGACCAACCCTGGTGGGTCAGTGGTCGATGAAATCTCTGCACGGATACAAAAGGCTCGATTGGCTTTTGCCAATTTACGCCACCTATGGCGTCACCTTGATATCCGTTTGTCTATTAAGGGTCGTGTGTACTGCACAGCAGTCCGGTCTGTTCCACTCTGTGGCTGTGAAACATGGCCATTAAAGGTAGAAGACATGAGAAGGCTTCAAGTGTTTGACCACCGTTGCCTTCATAGGTATAGGCCGTATCCCGTGGTGTCACCACGTGAGTAACGCAGACGTCAGGTAGAGAGTTTTAGGAAGTACAGGCAAATCAGTTGACAAGGTTACGAACCTTCATCGATTGAGATGGTTGGGACACGTACTACGTATGCCTAGTCACCGATTGCCTCGTCACACAATGTTGGCCGAAGTAGGTCCAGGCTGGAAAAAGGCCCGAGTGGCCAGACTAAAACATGAAATCTCTGACTGTTGGTTTGAGCCATGTGGGGCGATGCACACTAGGTGGTTGGGGTCCGCGGGACAAGAGGAATCAATGGTTGGAGACTCTAGGTGATGGCATGGGCTGAGAACCGATGTCAGTGGCGCTAGCTATACCGAATCTCAGCATCTTGTCACTCTTCCTTTCTCTCTGTTAGTACTTTATATTTCCTTTGACTGAATTTCCTTTTCTTCATTTTCAACTTCACTGCCTTTTTCCTTGATGTACTATACTGAGCTGTGGCAACTCGGACCGTTACGCAGTAATGCCTGGTCCTATGTTGATATTGGTGATGATGACATTCAGGTGAGATGCGATATTCAAGCGAATAGATGCAATGATCAAAGCACTGAGCTTTTCTTGCAGCTAAACTTTTATTAGCATTTTATACCACATGTTCGCTAAACCAGTCAAAATTGGATAGTTTTCCTGCTCATATCACCTCCAACTGCATTTATGAACTCATATGCTCTTGAGGTAGCTAGTACATTAGAAGGACTGAAAAGAGTGGGTCGATATGGCTTGCTGAACAGTTCCCCAAGAATCTGCACTTGAAAGGAAGTATAATTCTAACCAGTGCAATTTCCAAACACCTCGTAGACACAAAATACCACACTGAAACCTCCAGTGCTTTCAAAATAGTAGACGTACAGAAAATGTCTGAATTGCTGCGTTTCGTGGAAACGATTATAACAAAACGCTTTTAACCAGACCTTTGAATATAGACCTGCCCCACCTTTATTTTAATTACTGCGTAACGGTCCGAATTGCCACGTCATATCAGTACATCAAGTAAAAAGGCAGTGAGGTGCAAGATGAAGATAAGAGAATGCAGTCAAAAGAAATATAAAGTACGAAAAGAGAGAAACGAAGAATGAGAAAGTGGGGAGATTCGGTATAGCGTCGTTAAGATGAGGATAATGTACGTATACATCTGCGCCACTGATATTGGTTCTCAGCCCATGCCATCACCTAGAGTCTCCAACCACTGATTCCTCTTGTCCCGTGGACCCCAACCACCTAGTCTGCATCGCCCCACATGGCCCAAACCAACAGTCAGAGATTTCATGCATTGGTGCCATGTTTTAGTCTGGCCACTCGGGCCTTTTTCTAGCCTGGACCTACTTCAGCCAACATTTTAATTACATAACTTTTGGTTTATTTACTGATTATTTTTCCTTCCTTACCTCTTCATGGTTAGTTTTCTTATGCGTTATATGGACAATCAATAGTTTTGTTGCACAGTTTATGATTATTGATCTCCTGATTTTGAAATATTTTATGTACTAGAAGTCATTGTGCTTTTAGACTGTGTGCAGCTGAAGAGAACCCGTGAAATAAAATGACATTTTATTTTGTAAATTTCTTCCTTCTTACTTTATCTATTTTCGATAAGTCATTACCATTTGCATCCATTTGTGTTCACTCTTTATTTCTTTCCTTTCCCACCTTTAATTTTTTTATCTCGATGTAGAGTGAGTCAACCTGGACCAATGTACAGTTAAGCTCCGTGTTGAAATCTCAGTATTGAAAAAACGTGATTGGCTTTTGCCAACTAACACTAAACTCAGCGCCAGTGGGATATTTGACTGCATACGAAACACTAAGTGTACTACACAAGATTTTGCTTCGTCCTAATAAGTGCTGCGAAACATGACCAATACACGTGGAAGACATGAGAAAGAATCAAGTATTCAACCGCCACTGCCTTTGAAGCATTGGTCGTAAGTTGTGAGATCACTAGGTTAGTAATGTTGAGATTAGGCGTTGACTTTGTGGTGGAAGAGGTAAGCCAGTTGATGAAGCTTTCAGCCTTGAATGACTCATGTGGCCAGGACATGCGTTACACACGCCGTGGATGGCTACATTGGTTCAAGTACTTTCAAGTTGGAGACGGCTAAACTAAAACGTGCTAACAGTTCATGAAGTCTCTACACTATGTATAGAAACGTCAACTTTCCAGCCGGGGGCCGTACGATAACCCAAACTGCTGAATGGCGTGACTCAATAGATCACATAGGTGAATAGCATCTACATAGTTTTCATCTTAATCAACATGCCATATTTTGCCATTTGTTTTCACTCCTCTTCTGATGACGTAAAAAGTTGACAAAAGCTTTTGTTGATATTTCCTTCTATTTCTCCGTCTTTCATCTCGCTGCTTCGCATCTTGAGGTGCAGTAACCTGGACTTTGAGGCAGCGTTGATACTGAAAGACTCACGACGCTTGGTTCGATGCTACCTATATATCTGTATGCCGTCACTTGAAAGACCAATAAGTAGCAAGAACGCTGAATCAATTACTACCTACTCACCATCGAATCTTGCTTAGTAGTAATAGTAGCTTCATTCCAAACAATACGTATGATACACTATGAAATTTCCAGCACATAACTTCTCAACAAGATTACTCCTATAGCAGAATATTGCCCCGTACCCCAAACTGACAAAAGTGGGGAGAAAAGGCGATGAATGGGGGAAATTTAATGGTTAACAAAAGCGGGAATAAAGCAGAAATGCGACGAAAAACAAACATTGTCCGCACCACCACGACCGATCCCCACTATTTCCCGCACAGATTTCGTATTGATTCCCCACGGCCTCCCTATTCATTCCCCTTTTTCTGTTTCATAGTTGCTATATAACTGTAGATGGATCTAAGCCACAATACCTACCATGTATGCATATTCTGCGAAAAACAAGACTAGTAAAAAAGCAGCAAGTTATATTTACAACGGCAAATTATACAAGTATTCTTTTGAGGTAATGCACTTCACAAAAGCTTGTCCAAATTCGCTTTTTATCCTGCATTTACATGTGCTACTGTTTCTCAATACCGACCGTACATTTTTGGGAAGTGTAGAAATCTTCCGAATAGTTCCAGAATTTTGATAGCATCCATCGCTGAGGTGTCTGTTACCAACATCATTTCCATTACAACGTCGGTAAGCATTTCATGCAACGTTTTGTCACTCGCTTCCTGCAATTGTATCTACATGTCTTGTGAAATATAAGTTGACCACATACCATTTGCGACTGCGACAACCATGCTTGTTTATCAACGGCTAGCAGTACTTCGAGATGTTTACTAGCATCGTAGTCACTCGGAAAGTAAGCCATCACATTTGCACTCTGCCTAATATCCACTGAAGTGGACAGACTATCCAAAATGGAGGAGAATGGTTGCATCGGCGGCAAAACAAGTCGACCGATGACAGCCAAATAGATTAGGGATCTTTCCAAACGACCACGGTCTCGTACTAGTACTAGCTAACGACTTAGACTACAGATTTTCATATAACAAGGAGTAAAATGGAAGAAAATTTAACAATTTGCACAACAAAAAAAACGTACCCCCATGGTAAGCACTACCGTCGTCCTACTGTAACGAACAGTTGTTGATTAGTTTTCGTCTAGCCTGTAGATAGGTACGCTGTTGCAGAGGGCTCGCAGAGCAGTGTGTTTGGTAGTGGCCACGAGAATCTGGATAAAAAAGAAGGGTGAGCCGACAACTTAGCAAGTACATATGATGAACTTACATTTGATAATAAAAGATAACTGACAAACGTAGAGCTGGACAACGAAGAGGTGAGGCGAAACTCTACGGTGAAGAGTAAGATTCCGAATGGGCTACACTACAAGTCAAACTGAACAAGCGCCTTACGACTTGGAAACCAATCAGAATGCTGCCTTGTGACCACCATTTCGGGACACAAGTTAGCCACAAAAAGCGTGCTTTTTGCGTATTTTTTTGTTGAAATTTATTTTTTCGCGTTACGAAAATGGCCTCAGGTACCTGGTTACCAACAAATTATTATACTAAGTCGTAATACTTGGTAGATTGTGAGAGCACAATGTCCAATATCTTTTAACGAGCTAGTGTAAACCAGCTGATTTCTTTGCGCTCGCTTCTAGGTCTTGTGGAACGGTTCCAGGTCTTTGGTGGATTCCAATGCAGTAGGTTTACCTACTCCACTGCTGTAGCTCTGGTTAGCCCGACGGGCGGTTGGGTGTTGTTTAGATTTGTAGGGAGTGTTGTTTGTTTGCTTGCCCTTTCTTCCGAGTACTGTGGTGCAGATGGGTTCCTCAAATGTCGTGCCAGCAGACAATTGGTTGGACTGGTTGTAAAAAGGAGATGAAAAATATGTACAGAGAAATCAAGGAAGAGAAAGTGCCGAGAGAGACAAAATAGAAAAAGAAGGGGAAAAAAGGAAGAAGAATAATATATATTTCAAAAAAGATTAGGAAAAGGGAAACGGCACGGAAGAATAAACATTGGTCGGTTCATGGAGAATAGGTGATAGGGAGGGCTTTTGTTAAAGTTCGAGAACGTAGAGTCAGAAGTAAGAAGAATAAATAACATTATTGGGCGAATGTGAATATAGTAATTCTTTTAGCAGAGGACGGTAACTGGAGGGGACGTCTACAGGAAGGTATAAGGTTAGGCCGAGTTCTCGGTGATAATGGTTTTTCTAAGTGTTCGGTAACGGTTGGTCGTACTGAGTTAGTAAGTCGTGTTAGCCCAGTCCACATCCCAGTTGGATGAGCGCAAGCCGTGCGTAGTTGCGTAACTCTCCAACCTCTTCCTGAAGCTGTCGACAGATGGAGCAATAGCAATCTCAGCAGGCAATGCGTTCCAGTGGCCGCAAACTCGCAGAAAGAAGAGGTGTGATCGCACATGGGTTTTCGCTCTTTGGTGAGCCATCCTCCCTAGGCTACTATGAGGATCGCCATAGTGGCCGTTCGGTAGGATTCCACTGTTCGGATGACTTGGGTTACTGAGTATTTTGTAGGCCGTTATCAAGTCACCACGTAATCTGCGGTAGCTTAGGGAGAAGAGCCCTAGATCTTTCAGCCTGTCCTGATATGGTTTTTGCCTCATTCCCACGACATCCTTTGTAGCTCGCCTTTGGACTTTCTTCAGGAGGTTCACGTCTCTTTTCAGATATAGTGGTGCAGTGACGTTGTGTACCTCTAGATGGGGTTGTATATAGGTCTTATGCAGCTTCAAAAGGAGTTCCGGGGTCAGGGCACCCAGTTGTCTGCACATGAAGTGCAGTACTGCGTAGGCCCTGGAAGCATCTCCTGGATAATTGGGCCTAGTGTCTAGTTTGCCAGTTAGTATTGGTCCTAGGTCTTTCTCCGTGGTGGTGTGGGAGAGTTGAGTTCCACAGAGAGAATAGGGTACCTTCTGAGAGTCTGTGATGCACAGAAACATGGCCCGGCATTTGTCTAGGTTAACTGCCAGTCCATTAATATCCACCCGCTCTGCAAGTAATCTGAGATCACTCTGCAATGCACTTGATCCTGTTTCTGACGTCACAGCTCCCCATAGCTTAACATCACCAGCGTAAAGCAGAATTGTGGAGCTGAGATTCAGTGTGAGGTCGTTCACAAAAAGAAGGAATAGCAGCGGGCCCGGAATCGCCCCTTGTGATACACCAGATGATAATGCCCTCCAAGTCCAGCAAACTCCGTTGGCTTTTGTGCAGAATTGTCTACCGTCTAGATAGTACTACAACCATGAAAGCACCTGTCCCTTGATGCCCAACCCTTCTATTTTGTGAATAAGAACAGTGTGCGGAACTGTATAGAAAGCCTTAGTAAAATCCAGGAAAATAACATGGACAGGAATTTGGTGGTTCCAGCATGCCGTCCACTTATCACCTGCCGCCAGAATGTTCGTGGCACAGGACCTATCCTTTCTGAAACCATGTTGTGCATCACTAAGTGCTCCCCTCTTTTCTAAGTACTCCCTGAGATGGTCGTCTACCAGACTCTCAATTACTTTTGACACCACTGGTACGAGGGCTATGGGTCGGTCGCATTTTGGGTTCTGCCTGTCTCCACCTTTGAAGATGGGGACAGAATAGCACTTTTGCGCTCTTGTGGAAGCATGCGATTGTCTAAGGAGTGTTGAGACAAGTTACACAGCGGACCGCACAAGGCACCTGCGCACTGGTTCAGCACAGCCGGTCGGATGTCATCACACCCTGCTGATTTACCTGGGTGGAGCCTTGACAGTTTTTCGAGGATCATAGCAGGAGTTACCTTTATTCCGGGTAACTCTACAGCGTTTGGTGGTGCTGAATTTCGGTCGGACAGTCGGTAATTTTGGTTTGATAGGGACGTATTGAGTTGCGTACCGAAAGTTGCGCTAAAGGCTTCGGCGATCTCTAGTCTGGAGAGGTTCTCTCCGTTTAGGCCTTTCAGTAAGCAAGCCACCTGGCTGGTGGATTTTCTGCCTGCTATAGACCGATATAGGTTTTTGGGACTTGCCTCGAGCCTTTGAGCAAGGTTCGTCTGGAATGACCTCCTGTCTCCCCTCACTCTAATGTTACATCGATTTCTTAGGGCAACGTACATGGTGTGGTCAGACACTTTTCTGGAGGTCCTCCACTTGTGCCGTGCTTTCCTCTTGGCTTTCAAAAGGCGTTCAGTGCCTAGCTTCAACCATTAGGTTCGTTTCCGCGGTATTGCTGTGATTACTGGGACGATTTCAGAGACAGCCCTCTTGATGATATCTCTGACTAGTTCCCAATGTTGGTCGGTCGACAGATTGCTCCACTCCTGAGGCCATGGTGCTGTCGACAGATATTGGCTCAGCGTCACGTAGTTCGCGTTGTTGTAGCGAAGACAAGGGCGCGACGCCTCCCATGACAGTTATTCGGACAGTACCAGATTGAACACTACCACGCCATGATCGCTGCTGCCGAGGGGGGTTTGAACCTGTGCATTTCCTGCCAGCAGTGGGTCACTGGTAAAAAGGTAGTCCAGTTTGGACGGCTTTCCGCCAGACCTCCAGAGAGTGTCATCACCAATATTCTCGTGCAGCCCAGCCTTTTTGATAGTGTTGAGTAGGTTTCGGTCGAACCTTCTGCTTGAGGTTCCCTTGTCCTGCCCAAGTTTGCGAGTAGGAGCATTAAAGTCGCCGGCTATAATGACCTGGTCATATCCGATGGACATCGCTCGGGACATTACTTGCAGCAGTTGTCGGTTATCTTCCACGCTGCGAGTAGGTGTTCTATAGACGCCTCCCGCCAGGTACTTGGTGTGTCCAACCTTAAACTGGCACCAGATGGAGTCTGGGGGCCCTGAAAGTAGGGTTTCAGTTGCTCGTTCACTCTTAAGGTTACCACATATAAGCATCGCCACTCCACCTCCCTCCTTAAGCTCCCTGCCCCTCCCGAACAGACTCATACCGTATATACTAGCTTCGATGTCGCTAATGCCCGGTGGTAGCCAAGTTTCTGTCAGGATTATGACCGCTGGAGCAATGTAGGAACAGAGAAATCGTAATTCCCCCACTTTACTTCTAAGCCCCCTCACACTACTGTAAGGACACTTGGCTATGTTTCTAACGACATGGGGTATCTTGGTGCTGGCAGACTGGAGGGAGTCGTGCGTAGTGGCAAAACTTGCAATAAGACGGTTAGCTCCAGTGGAACCGGCCCAATCACGTTCTTTTCCCACAATGGTTTCTGGGGGTTTCATAGAGCCCAGGCTCGATTGTGCATCTTGTCTGTTGACGGTGATGGTGACTTCGGCAGTGAGCGGTGCTGCCATTTGCTGTTGTCGCAGTGCCCTGGGCCTGCTTTCACAGCGGCGAACATCCGCACTGATGTTATCTTTTACTGTGTGCCGAGTCTGCAGTACATTGGTTAAAAGTTCTTGACAGCCGAAGTTAACAGCCATCAACCGGGGTGCTGTTATCGTCGTCAAATGTGAGGGAAGTGGCAGTCTGCAGACCGCCACCACTGCTATCCCATTTAGCCCCATCCTCGCTGACAACCACTGCCGTTGCTGGACGTCGTGAGCATACTTTTCTACGACTGTGCCGGCTGTCAGTTCTGGTATGCCGTGGACAACCATAGTTGTTGGTTTCAGCGTTTGAGGCGCCTCGCGGGATCCTTTTATTGCTGACCAAGGGCGGTCTGGTCTGGCTCTGATGCTGAATGACCTGTTGATGACTAGTGTGTGTGACATCAGCAAGAATCTTTCCGCTTCTTTAGCCGAGCTTGGGGTAACTCTCATTGGCGGAGGCTTTCCCTGAGGTGGGTAGTTGCCTTTGTAGAGCCCGCACAGTTTTGTTTCTAGGCTACCCGGTCCTAGTGTGGTGCATACGGTTTCCCACTGCTGCCTGTCAAACGAGTCTCTGTTCTCAAGGAGATTATCATGGCACACAGGGACGTTAAACAAGATGATGGAGCTCGACCTGTCATCAGCTTCCCTATTTTCGTGTGCTGTGGGTGGTTTTTTGCGGGAAGGGTGCACCTTCTTTTCCACTACCACCCATTCTTCTCACTGCACAGTGGGGTAAGCCTCTAAAGTGCCTTCAGGGTTAGGGACGAATGTAGTTGGTCGCATCTTCAGTCGTCGTTTTGGTCTTTTAGGACTATTCACCGGTGTGACTGGCCTGGGGTACAGTGCTGACACTCTTGCTGCTTGGGCCTGGGATAGTGGCCAGTGTGGGTGCTGACGTCACAGTAGTCACTGCGATGTCCTTTACGACCTCCATCATCGAGCCTCTAGAAAAGAGTGGCCTTATACAGCACTGTGGGCAGATGTACCAGAACCACGTGCATGGGTAGCGCGCCATGAAGGTGAAATATTGGTCTGGTATGTCCTCGTCACACTGATTGCGCACCCACTTATTGCAGTTGTTGCACTCGAAGACAGCATCCCTCTCGGCTACGGTTAGGCCACATGTATGACAGCCGTCAGCTTGACTAGAAGGCTTAGTTAACGACTTTCCTTTCTATGGAAGTTGTTGGTCTTGTAGTGAATGAGTGCGGCGATACATTGCAGGGATTAAAAGCCACTGTCACATTTGGAGCGATAGAAGAATCACATTGCAACGGTAATCCAATCCTACCAAATCTAAACGAGGATAAATTTGTCGTCCAGCAAGCTTAAATGAATTTCTCACAAGCTCACCGAGCGCCACTAGAAGAGCATAGGGTAACTGTATACTCATTTCGTCACATTTCGCTTGCCATGCACTCTCAGTCTTGTTCAAATCACGTGACCCACACCCCAGCGTTTTTCCATTATAGTAGTATTCGGGGATATTTGAATATTGGATGATACTCCGTCGCACCGGGAACTCAGTTCTTCGATGCCTTCATCTCAGCCGACAGTCTACGCTTCATAGATTATTATTATTATTTTATTATTAGTCCCTTGGGTTCCTAGTGGAACATAGGGCTTCAGTAGCACGTCTCCAGTGAACTCTGTCCTCTGAAATCTTTTGAACCTGGCTCCACGACAGCCCAGAAGCTCTCATTTCTTCCTCACACGACCTCCTCCATGTCACCCTCGCCTCAGATGTCCAACTCGTCGCTTCCCATGGGGGTTCTACTCGAGGGCCTGACACGTGATGTCCCCACCCGGCCTTCTCAGTGTATGCCCAATCCATCTCCACTCCTTTCTGCATATTTGTTGGGTGATAGGTTCTTGGTTGGTTCGTTCCCAAGCAGAGTTCCTTGTTGCTTATTCCGACTATTCTGGCCATCTGATCTTCAGTAGCGAGCGTAAGCAGTTGCTGATGAATGTCTGTAGTTTGTTGGAAATCCCTTTCGTAACGCGCCAAGTCTCTGAACCACACAGAAGCACTGACTTGACTTGACGTTGGTGTTGAAAATCCGGATCTTGTTCCACATGCTGAGTCCAGAAGATCCCCACACTAGTTTCAGGCTAATGAACGCCTGTCTTGCTTTACGATCCTGGCTGGCTTTGAAATCTTCGTCTGTGCCATCTGTAGTTGAAACAGTGCTTCCTAGATAGGTGAAGGAGGTTACTTCCTTTAAGTTTCTCCCGTTGATGGTGATTGGAGTTTGTTGTTGGTGGTGGTGTTGTTGGTGCGGTATCTTCATCACCTCCGTCTTCTCTATATTCACTTGAAGTCCCGTCTTCGCTACCCGCCTCTTCTGTCAACTTATTAGTTTTTGCCCGCAGATCTTCAAGTTTATGTGACATCAGGCACAAGTCATCGGCAAAATCCGAGTCTTCTAGGTTCTTTTCCGCAGTCCAGCCAGCGTATCCCCCTCTTCTCGCTCCCCACTGTTTGCTGCATGATCCAGTCGACCACAATCAGGAAGATTATGGGTGATAGCAGGCAACCTTGTTTCACTCCTGTCTTCACTTCAAAAGCATCACTGAGCTTCCCATTGTGAAGTGCTTGGCATGTGGCGTCTTCATATAGTTGTTGAATGAGGCTGATAAAGGTTTGCGGTACTCCGTAGTATTGAAGCAGTTTCCAAATTACCTCTCGGTTGACGCTGTCAAAGGCCTTCTCAAAGTCGATGAAGTTGAGGTAGAGAGCTGATTGTCATTCTATGCTCTGTTCTATGATGATGCGAATCGTTGCAATTTGGTCTGCACATGATTTGTACTTCCTGAAGCCAGCAAGCCTGTTCCGGTCGTAGTTTCGAATCCAGTGCATCTTAGGCCTCTCCAGGATGATGCGGCTTAATATTTTGCTTGCACTGGGTGGACAGGAGCACGATTCCTCGCCAGTTCTTGCAAACACTGAGGTCTCCCTTTGGGAGTTTGACAAGGTAACCCTTCTTCCAATCACTAGCCAGGTACCTTCTCCTCCTTCCACACCTTCTGCAATAGTGGTGTGAGTATGTCCGCTGTTGTCTCTGCGTCTGTTTTCAGTGCTTTTGGCGGGATCCCATCTGGTCCTGCTGCTTTCCCACATTTCAGTAGCTTTATGGCGTTCAGGACTTCGACTTTTGTTGGAGGATTTATGTTCACTTGCAGCTCAGCGGCTGTAGGTGGTATTTCTGGACGAAGTGCAGTTGGTGGTCGATTCAAGAGCTTCTTGAAGTGGTCTGCCCATTGTTTCCTTTGTTTCTCTTCTTTCGTAATTAAATTTCCGTCATCATCTTTTATTGATTTCATCTGCGTTGATCTCTTCCCAGATAGCAACCTGGTTATTTGATACAATGTTGTCAGGTCTCTCTTACCTGCAGCCTGTTCTGCTTCCCTTGCCAGTGTTTCGTAGAAGTGTCTTTTGTCTTTGCGTGCACTCTTCTTTACTTCTTTGTTCAGTGTTTTATACATTGTGCTCAGTTCCTCTTGTCGTTGAGCATCCTTGCACTGGTTTATCTTCTGCTTCACCATCCACCTCTCCCTCATCTATCAGCTGCGATGTTTTCGCTGAGATCCATTCCATATCTTCTTTCTTCTTCCTTCCTAATACGGCTGTGCAGGTTTCTTTCCACATCTCTTTCAAAGACTTCCAATGTTCTTCCACACAGGTTTCTTCAGGGATGTTGCTCGATATCTCCCATTTTGTCTTGATGGCTGACGTGAAGATCTCCTTTGTAGTTTCATCCTTCAGTTTCCGAGTGTTGTAATTGAGCTGCGGTCTATCACCAGCTTCCTTGAAGGCTTTCAACTTGATTTGGAAGGTTCATTGCACTAGATAGTGGTCTGAACCTACATCTGCTCCTCTTCTTGCCCTTGTGTCAGGTAGACTGCATCTCCATTTTCTTCAAATTGAGGTAAGGTCAATCTGATTTTTAGTGTGTCCATCTGGTGAAATCCATATCGCTTTGTGGATATCTTTGCGCCTGAACGCACTGCCTCCAGTTACCAAATCGTTGAATGCACAGAATTCTGCAATCAACTCTCCATTCTCGTTCAATTTACCTAGCGCCTCTCGACCCATGGTTAGTTCTCTTCCTGTGTTGTCTGCTCCCAGTTTGGCATTCATTTTGCCCATTAGAATTTTGATATCGCCAACTGAGGTCTTGTCCAGTGTTGATTGAAGTTGTCTGTAGAATTCCTCCTTCTTCTCTTGCTCTGCATTATTTGTAGGTGCACAGCGTAGCATTGTATGATTGTGACTTTCCTTCCTTTTGAGTTGAATCTTGCTGTCATGATCCTGGAGGAGATTGGTTCCCACTGCATGAGGGCCTTCGATGCTGTTGGGGACATTATGATAGTCACTCCTTCAGTGTGTTTGTGTTTGTCGTCTGGGTGACCGGAGTAGATTATTGATTCTCCAGTTGACAGTTTGGAGAGTCCACCAATCCCATTCCATCCGCTTTCGCAAATTCCAAGCACTTCAATGTGATACCTTCTTATCTCGTTTGCAATCTGGGCTGCCTTGCTGGGTTCAAACATTGTGCGGACATTCCATGTCCCCACGTTTACTTTCGCTTTCATCGAGGGAGAGAAGACACATCGGCCAATTGGCTTCCCGAAGTCTTTCACCAACTGGTGTCGTTTCGCCTCTCCGATTCCAGCGAAGAATAATTTTGTTTTTATTTTTTATATTCTGTTTGCAATTTGAAGTTTCTTCAGCGGTTAGATTTGTTTTACGGGGTAGGGTTGCTAGCCCTATACCAAACCTTCCCTGTTTACCCGGGCTTAGGACCGACTAGTAACTAGTGAACTAGTTAACCAGGCGAGGGTACCTAAGTACTTGGTCTTAGTATTTTGCATTAGCTGTTTGGAACGGTTAATCATCGACTTGGAAACTCATAAACGGTGCATGGAATAATCTTTCGTACACAGTAAAACGCCAAAACTTAAACTTTTAGTCTTGATCGTATGCATGTATTCAAAACTTCTAATATCTACCTTCATTAGTAATCAGCCGATAGATTTTTATCTTTTGTTTGTTCCAGAATATCGCTATCTTCTAATTTTTTACGAACTCAGATGTACAGATTTATGGATTACGTTTCTATGCATGTCAGATGAAAAATTGTATTACTTAGTAACCTTAGTTTTTTTTGGTACAAAAAGAAATAAATAGATACACCAATTTAATGGTAACTTGTAGTTCATTAAGTTGCCAGCTTTAAAAGCGACTTCCAGAAGGGAAAGAATGACAAAGTTATCTTATTTCGTCCCAATATAAGTGTTCCATGGAGCTATACACAACTGTTTATAGACATTTCATAACTTTGGGACGCAATGACATTATTGTTTCAGCAGGTTTAGCGATGCTTTTTAACATTTAAGTGCGAACCTATTGCAGAATAAGAACAAAGAAATGTACCACAGAGTACAGCGACGACCCATCACATGTTTATTTACTAGGCTACGAGTCACATCTACTATGTAAGGGCTTATGATACTACTGGTTGGTTTACCCGGGCTTAAGACCGGCCAGTAACTGGTGAACTAGTTAACCAGGCGAGGTTACGCTTCATAGATAGAGTTCGAAATCCCTCCTCAAGTGCACTCGTGTCTACATCCCTCCAGAAATGTCTTCATTCTTAGTAAGCTAAACGTAGACTTTCAAATCATTTGCCATTTGTCCCAGTGAATTTGTGGCTTGTTGGTATAGATATTCATCTACAAGCATACCTGAAAATCAGCCATCAGATACTTAGTGTGATTCACAAATATATGTGGGACAGGTGAATCTCTCTTACAGATATTACTATCCGGAGATTCAATAGATGACTGAGACACTTGGCGCATTTCGCTGGAATAAACAGCATGAACACATCAGTACTTTAGTAGACAAACTGCTGTTCATTAGTTGCGCCTTAAATTTAATCTACAGCATTTCCTTGTCCCTTAATTTTCGCATTATCGCTCTAGTGTTACTGAAGGTTATGATAGCTCGGACCGTTATTTCCAGTGGATCTGTATTTTGAACTTCTGTTAGGTATACAATAAACACTTATGTTAAGAAGCTGATTACCCTGCACTGAGCTTGATAATGAGAAGTAAAATTTTTCAGCACATCGCAGATTGTAATTGCTTGATGAGCGTACCCAACATCTTACTAGTAATGGATAGAGGTTCTTGTTCCAAATAAACTTGTGTTTGCGGAACTGGCGGAAACTCAGTCCTGGCTTACAACGCTAAAATTTTGAAAACGGATCTTTATCATAATGCACACTAAATCTACTAACAGCTTAAAGAATGGTTTATACGAGAACTCTATGGTATTTCTGATAAGCAGATCGTTCAGAAATAAACTAATCAACATTTACTCTGCGCTAACTACGACTACAACTCAGCTGATTGTTAATATTATTATAATTTGTCCCTTGGGTTCCTAATGGAACATAGGGCTTCAGTAGCACGTCTCCATCCCACTCTGTTCTCCGCAATCTTTTAAACCTGGCTCCACGATTGCCCAGAAGCTCTCGTTTCTTCTTCACACGACCTCCATGTCACCCTTCACCTCGGACGCCCAAATCGCCGTTTCCCATCTGGGTTCCAGTCGAGTGCATGCCCAATCCATCTCCACTTCCTTCTGCATATTTGTTGAGCGATAGGTTCTTGGTTGGTTTGTTCCCAGAGTTCCTTGTTGCTTATTCTTTCTGGCCATCTGAGCTTCAGTAATGAGCGGAGGTAGTTGTTGATGAATGTCTGTAGTTTGTTGGGAATGCTTTTCGTAACGAGCCATGTCTCTGAACCATATAATAAATAATAATAAGTGATAAATATTTTATTCTCGTGTTAAAAAAAGGATTTTAACATGAGAGAAGCCAGTTTACAGGCTTCATCACGTTGATATATCTCAAAATGTCTACAGGACTTGAGCCCTCAGTGGTACTGATGGAATGTCATTAAACTCATGGAAAAAACTGCCGAAGGCCCTGCTAGTTGTGAAATAAACGAGGAAATATTACTCTACAGCGTACATAAGGTATTAAAGTTTAGATAATAGTGAATGTCGCCTTCATTTAACAGACTTAACATGAGGGATACCAGTTTACAAGCACCGTCAGATTCATAACTTTTGAAAGCATCTAGTATTAAATAATTTACATATCAAGTCATTAGTGTGCATAAACTTATTAAAATTTGCTGAAATTCATGAGACGGATACGGATTGCCATCTCCCATCACATAGATAGGTTCCATTACCAATATCAAAAGCGCGCAGTGCTCAAAGTTTGCATTGTAACCGACCGACGTTGTTAGTCCATTCGAATAGTTTGCTAATTAGCAACATAACGGTTTATTACTTAGAATGATCCCCAGTTTTTAGCTCCGCTAATTACAAAGGGCCCATTTATACAAACTAGAGTATCAATAAAGTATCCACAGTTATATAACCAACGTGTATGTCTTTATCAATACATTTCCAGGTCACCATGTTACGTTTAAAGACAATATAGATTAATTCTGCCGGGGAATACTTGTTACACTGGATGAAAATAGGTGTTGAAACAGTCAATGGTCCAAGTGGCAGTATTTATACACAGACTTCGGTCATCTTTTGTATTAACGTAGGCGGCAAAATTCGAGAGGTGTATTTGATGCATAGGAAGTTCCATATGAAAAGGTCTCTTGGTACAGAGTACTAGAAAACGTGTAGTTTGGAGCCATTGAAGGTAAGTGACCTCCTGAGCCAATATGTGAATTTATCTCTCGTTTAATCATCCGTCCAGAATGTCTCTGCTACTAATACTGTTGGGAATGGTCAGACGGTTAGTTGCAAGAAAAATCATGACCAGTAGGTGAGTGAATCTTGAGGATGGTCCAGAATTTGGGAAAGAGTGGGAGCAATCCAATAATTAATGGCGTCAATGAGCAGGTGTTATTCCTATAAAGTAATCACGTTCAGACTGAATTTGAACATCAAATGTCGACTTGCAGCTGTTTCTGCAAATGAGGAAGGAAAGGAGAGGCACGAGCAGATATGGAAATACAGATTTCTACGCCATCAAATTTGGGAAGAGAAAGGTCCCTATCCTTTTTTTATTCGAACTTGACGTACATTTTCATGTATATATGTTAAGTCAACTACATAGTCCTTCCATTATAGGGTTATTAAGTCGTTTTTTGGGGAGGTGGGGGGGTGTACTGTAGTGGCTTTCAGTAATAAACGGTATTCTTTAAGTTCATTATACGGAGAGGAGCCGGTATTCATACCCTCGTATGCAATCGTGAGGCCATCTGCACTAAACGAACTTCAGGGCTTTAATAAAACCGATTCTTACATTTAGAGATCTGAGTAGGTTCATAGCAGACGCAATGGCTTGACCATTGTTATGTGCCGATTGCTCCATTATGCTTCGTATTTGTGGATATAATATGAATGTCAGGAAATTTATGGATATTCGCGAAAAGGAAGAATTCGTTGAGTAGACGTCGAAACTGCAGCACTGACTTGACTGGCGTTAGTGTTGAAAATTCGGATCTTGTTCTTTATGCTGAGTGCAGAAGATCTCCACACTAGTTTGAGGCTAGTGAACGCCTGTCTTGCTTTGACGTCCTCGTCTGTGCCGCCCGTAGTTAAAACAATGCTGTCTAGATAGGTGAAAGAGGCTAATTCCTTTAGGTTTCTCCCGTTGATGGTGATTGGAGCCTGTTGGTGGTTGGGTATGACCATCGCCCGTCTTCTCTACATTCACTTGAAGTCCTGTCTTCGCTGCCCTGCCTCTTCCGTCAACTTGTTAGTTTTTTGCCTGTAGATCCTCGAGCTCGTGTCACAAGACATTAGACATAAATCGTCATCGGCGAAATCCAAGTCATCTAGGATCTCTTCCCCAGTCCAGCATATCCCCCTCTTTTCGCTCCTCACAGTTTGTTGCATGATCCAGTCGACCACAGTTAGGAAGATCATCGGTGGTAGTAGACAGCCTTGTCGTACTCCTGTCTCCACTCCAAAGACACCACTGAGCTTCCCATTGTGAATACTTGACATGTGGCGTCTTCATATATTTGTTGAGTGAGGTTGATAAAGGTTAGCGGTGTTCCGTAGTGTTAGAGCAGTTGCCAAATTACTTCTCGGTCGACGTTGCCGAAGGCCTTTTCAAAGTCGATGAAGCTGAGGTAAAGATCCAGTTGACTGCCATTCTATAGTCTGTTCTATGATGATGCGCAGCGTTGCAATTCGGTCTGCACATGATTTGTACTTCCTGAATCCAGCCTGTTCCGGTCGTAGTTTTGAGTCCAGCGCATGCTTTAGTCTCTCTAGGATGATGCGGCTTAATATTTTGCCTGGGGTAGACAGGAGCATGATTCCGTGCCAGTTCTTGCAAGGATTTAGGTCTCCCTTCTTCGGGAGTCTGACAAGGTAGCCCCTCTTCCAATCTGCAGGCACCTTTCCAGACCTTCTGCAGTAGTGGTGTGAGTATGTCCGCTGTTGTCCCCGCGTCTGTTCTCAGTGCTTCTGGCGGGATTCCATCTTGTCCTGCTGCTTTCCCGCATTTTAGGAGCTTTATGGCGTTCAGAACTTCGACTTTAGTCGCAGGGCTTGTGTTCACTGGTAGTTCTGTGGCTGGGCTGCAGGTGGTATTTCTGGACGAAGTGCAGGTGGTGGTCGGTTCAAGAGCTTCTTGAAGTGGTCAGCCCATCGCTTCCTTTGCTTCTCTTCCCCGGTAATTAGATTTCCTTCATCATCTTTTATTGGTTTCATCTGTGTTGATCTCTCCCCTCACAGATAGTAACCTGGTTATTCGATACAATGTTGTCAGGTCTCTCCTACCCACAGCCTGTTCTGCTTCACTTGCTAGTGTGTCGTAGAAATCTCTTTTGTCTTTCCGCGCACTCTTCCTCACTTCTTTGCCCAGTGTTTTATGGGTTGTGTTCAGTCCCTCTTTTCGTTGTTCATCCTTGCACTGCACTAGTTCATCTTCTTCACCATCTTCCTCTTCCTGCTCTATCAGCTTCCATGTGTCCATGGAGATCCACTCCTTGTTTTTCCTCTTCCTTCCTAATGCAGGTTTCTTTCTACATCTCCTTCAAAGAGTTCCAATGTTCATCCACACAGGTTTCCTCAGGGATGTTGCTCGATATCTCCCATCTTGTCTTGATGGATGACGTGAAGATTTCCTTTGTGGTTTCGTCTTTCAGTTTCTGTCTGTTTAACTTGGACTGTGGTCTATCACCAACTTCTTTGAAGGTTTTCGAGTTGATTTGGAAGGTTCCTTTCACTAGACAGTGGTCTGAACCTACATCTGCTCCCCTTCTTGACCTTGTGTCAAGTAGGCTGCGTCTCTACTTTCTTGAGATTGAGATGAAGTCGATCTGATTTTAGTGTGTCCATCTGGTGAAATCCATATCTCTTTGTGGATATTCTTGTACTTGAACACAGTGCCTCCAATCACCAAATCGTTGAATGCACAGAATTCTGCAAACGGTTCTCCATTCTCGTTTATTTCACCGAGTGCTTCTCGACCCATGGTTAGTTCTCTTCCTGTGTTGTCCACTCCGAGTTTGGCATTCATGTCGCCTATTAGAACCTTTTTGTCGCCAAATGAGGTCTTGGTCAGCGTTGATTGCAGTTGTCTCTACATGTTCTCCTTCTCTTGATCCGCATTGTTTTAGGTGCATAGCGTAGCGTAGCATCATACTACTGTAACTTTCCTTCTTTTTGAGTTAGACGTTGCTATGATAATTCTGGAGGAGTTGGTTTCCCACTGCATGACAGCCTTCGATGCCCTTCAGGATATCACGATAGCCACTCGTTCAGTGTGCCCGTGGTCGTTGTTTGAGTGGCAGTGCTAGAGTGG